GTGTGAGCGGTTGGCGCCTGTATTGGCCAGGCGCTGGAAAGTTATTTGTGTTCAGCTGACATTTAACACTCCCTCCCCCACTTCCTCCCAGCCCTGTGGGCGGGGGGGTTGGAAACTTAGCACTTTATATTTATACGGAACATTGAGGATATGTCAATAAAATATTGTTTTGTTTAAAAAACAACTTCTCAAGCATCTGGTCTCAAGTCAGCGCCTGGGAAAATGCTCGAACGCAGTTTCTTCATCAGACCTCACCTTTCCTTGTGTCGGCAGTATCTGAAAAGTGGAAGGAAGAAGGTGCTGGTGGGGCCTCAGCCACCGGAGAAACACCCCCCCCTCCCACCCCAGTCCCCGTCCCCTCCCCCTCTCCCCCACTACCCGGGGGTGTCCTGGCCCAGGTAGCGTTCTGTCTCCAGAGCTGAAAGAAGTGGTTTCTGGGAGGCTGTCTCCAACCGTATTACTGTTACTGGCTTTGGACCCTGTGGGTAAAATAAAAAGCTGTGTCCCTGGCTCAGACCCCACTCCCTTTTGGGAATGTGGATGGATATGTATGTGTGTGCGCCTGTGTATGTGGCTGCTGCCATGGGTGTGGGGTCTCGTCTCCAATGGCACACACATACTTGAACGTCTCTGTGTGTGTGTCTCTTTCCATGGCTGTGTGTGCGCGCATGCTAGGCCAGGCCTCCTTCTCCCCACAGTAGGGCAGCATAGCCTCTCACCTCTTCTCTCACACACCCAGGCCGGGACCCCAAGCCTCAGAAGGTCCGCTTGTGCCGGGGGCTCACGGCGGCCCCTGTTCCAGAGCTCCTTCTTGTCCCCAGAAGGCGTGTGGCCTGGTGTCTGGTGCGGAGAACCTGTCACCAGGCATGGGTTTAGTGGTTCTCCGCACCCACTCAAGTAGCGTGGCTTGATCGAATATTGGTTACTTGCCTGGTGCCAGATCTTGCTGCCTGGGGAGGCGTGAGTCGCGGCCCGGCCCAAGCCAGAAGTGGAGGGGTGCATGCAGAGGCGGCCGGAAACGGGTACTGTGATTTGCCTGAGAGCAGGGGTGCTGAGGCCTTTGAGGACAGCTCTCGGACAGCTCACCCTGTGTCATTCAGCCCCCACTCTGACGCTACTGGCCACTTGGAGTGTCATCTAACTTTTTCCAAACTCAGCTCAGGTGTGCCTCCTGCAGAGTGCTGGCTTTTCCTTAGGAAATCCTGAGTGCCTGGCCGGGAACACTTCAGCAGTGTATTCTGATGGCCAGGGAGCCAGCTCTGACTGCTGTATTTCAGTTCCCTTATCTATAAAATGGGGTTTATTATTAGCCTTGCCAGTTAGGGTGGTATCCAGTCAATCCGTGTGAGGGCTTAGCCCAGCATCTACACATAGTAGGTGCTCAGGCCATGTTAGCCGATGGTCCGCGAAGGTTTTCAGGTGTGAAGGTGTGCGTCTCCACCAGGCTGGATGCTCATGAGGTCATGGCCTGTGGTCTGCTCTGCCCTCTGTGCCCGGGGGTCTGGCACAGGTGGGCCCTGGTTCCGTAAGGCCAGGTGCGGGGCAAACAGCCCACCCTCAGCGCTCCGTTCCCTTGGCCATCTGGGGGTGGGTGCAGCGCTCCCTGGTGAGCACTGGGCAGAGCCAGGCTTATTGTCAGGGCTTTCTAGCCCTCAGCCTGGGGCTGGGGTGGGGGTGGGGGGAGCATCTGGGGCCCTGAGTCATCGGAGCCTTCCCACCACGCAGTCACATCTCACAAATAGCAGGACTGGTGGCTGCCCACTCCAGCCTCACCACGACCCCATCCCTTCCACCTACCCTCCCCATCCAGCCTCCCTTACCTGTGTGTTTGTTTTCTAAACAAACTGCATTTCTGGCTCTCTCCATCCTTCCTTATTTATTTTTTGAATATATATTATATATATTTTTTTATTTGAGAGAGAGAAACCATGAGCAGGGGAGAGGGGCAGAGCGAGGGAGATAGGGAGAGAGAGAGAGAGAGAGAGAGAGAGAGAGAGAGAGAGAATCTTAAGCAGGCTTCATGCTCAGTGCATAGCCTGATGTGGGGCTCAGCCCCACAACCCTGGAACATGACCTGAGTTGAAATCAAGAGTCAGATGCTTAACCGACAGAACCACCTAGGCACCCCTTCCTTATTTATTTATTTATTTATTTATTTATAACTTTTAAATTGTGGTTAAAAATATACAGAGTGGGGGGATGCCTTGACTCAGTCGGTTAAGCATCCAACTTCAGCTCAGGTCATGATCTCACGGCTTGTGGTTTCGAGCCCCACATCAGACTCTGTGCTGACAGCTCAGATCCAGGAGCCTGCTTCGGATTCTGTGTCTGCCTCTCTCTCTGCCCCTCCCCGGCTTGTGCTCTGTCCCTCTCTCTCAAAAATCAGTAAAAAAAAAAAAAAAAGAAAAAACAACTAAAAATATATGGTAGTCCCTCCTTATCCAAGGTTTTGCTTTCTGTGGTTTTAGCTGCTCATGGTTAACCGTAATCTGGAGCAGATGATCCTCCTTCTGACCTGTTGTTGGAAGGTCAATATTAGCCTAACACTGCGTCATGGTGCCTATATCATGCACACCGCTTCATCTCATCACGCAGACATTTTATCTCCTGTCATCACAAGGAGAAGGGCAAGTGCAGTGCAGTAAGATGTTTTGAGAAAGAGACTATATGCACATAGATTTCATTACAGCGTTTATTAGTTGTTGGGGTGCCGGGGTGGCTCAGTCGGTTAAGCGTGCAACTCTTGATTTTGTTGTGAGCTCGTGGTTCATGAGTTCAAGCTCTACATTGGGCTTTGAGCTCACAGTGTGGAGCCTGCTTGGGATTCTCTCTCTCTCTCTCTCTCTCTGCTCTTCCTCTGCCACCCCCCCTTCTCAAAAATAAATAAACTTAAAAAAAGAATTCTAGCATTTATTAGTTGTTGTTAATCTCTTATTGTTCCTAACTTGTTTTTTCTTTTTCTTCCTTCCTTCCTTCCTTCCTTCCTTCCTTCCTTCCTTCCTTCCTTCCTTCCTCTTTCTTTCTCTTCCTTCCTTTTCCTTCCTTCCTTTCTCTTTCTCTTCCTTTCTTTTTCTTCCTTCCTTTCTCTTTCCCTTCCTTCCTTCCTTCCTTCCTTCCTTCCTTCCTTCCTTCCTTCCTTCCTTCCTGCACTCCACATCCAGCATGGAGCCCAACACAGGGCCTGAACTCATGACCCTGAGATCAAGACCCAAGCTGAGATCAAGAGTTGGATGTTTAACTAACCCAGGTACCCCTACTATGCCTTACTTGTAATTTAAATGTTATCATAGGTATGTTTGTACAGGAAAAAATACTATATACAGGGTTTGGTATAACCCACAGTTTCAGGCATCTACTGGGGGTCTTGGAATGTATCCCCTGCAGATACATTATACATTTACGTATAACATAAAATGTATCATCTTTACTATTTTTTTTTTAATGTTTTATTTCTGAGAGAGAGAGAGACAGCGTGAGCAGGGGAGGGTCAGAGAGAGAGGGAGACACAGACTCTGAAGCAGGCTCCAGGCTCTGAGCTAGCTGTCGGCACAGAGCCTGACACGGGGCTTGAACCCACGAACTGTGAGAGCATGACCTGAGCCGAAGTCGGACGCTTAACCGACTGAGCCACCCAGGTGCCCCTCATCTTTACTGTTTTTAAGTGTATATAATGTTAAGCATACTCAAGCTCTCCAGAACTTTTCCATCTTGCAAAGCTGAAAGTCTGTACCCATTAAACAACAACTCCCCATTTCTTTCTCCCCTGGGCCCTGGCAACCACCATTCTACTTTCTGTCTCTGAATCTGACTGTATACCTCGTATAAGTGGAATCACACCATATTTACCCTCTGGTGAATGGCTTATTTTGCTTAGCATAATGTCCTCAAGTCAAACGGCATCTCTTAACTAAGAATCTGTTTCTCTACCCAAGTAGGGTGATTATTATTACGATTATTTTACCAAGCACTGAAGGGGCCAGCTGCATGCATTGTTATGTGCATTAATATAGCGCCAGGGCACTGGGGGCCTCTGTCTGTTCTCCCTGTGATTCTGACTCCTACTTTTGAGAAATGCCAGATTCTAAGCACGGCAGGATGCTGAGAGGCACTGTGGACAGTAGCTGGTGACCTTGCCTTGTCTCTGTTGCCCCTCTTCACTGGGCATTGGCTGGGGAGGTCCCCAAATCCCTCACCTCCAGGAATGGGCTTCTCCAGAGGCCAAGGAGCAGAGCGGAGGAATATGGGTAAGGAGCTTCAGTTTCTGGATCTGTGAAATGGGGATAAATGGCAATTTTGCAAGGCCGTTGTGGGGGTTGACAGGGGTAGGGTCCATGAGAGGGTCCAGGTATGCAAAAGATCCCCCCTTCCACGTGGCAGGCTTCCCTGGGTTGCTGGTTACACCAGCGTTCAGTGTGGAAACTTTTCCTGATCCCTGAACTTGCGATCTGTCCACTTGCCTGTTTGTGTACTAAAATAAAAGCTTATAGAAATTAGCGACATTGCCCTCCTTCCACAGATAGACTGGGGGTGCCTCAGGGTCTCGGGGAGCTTTCCCCATGTCTGCGTACAGGGCGGGGTGCGGGAAAGGGGTCTCTACATATTAGGGGATGAGGTCCAAGCTGGAGCTCCTGCCTCAGCACCCTTCTCTGATGTTTCTCTGCCCCCTGGTGGTGGGAGGGGACCTCAGAAGAGGCACACTCCCAAGTGGTGCCCTCCCTGCCTGCAGAGCGCTTTGTGCCTGGATTCTTACCTTCTTGCCCACTTCAGCCAGGCTGGGAAGGATTGACTAGGGCCCAGAAGGCTCAGCCTGGGCTGAGGGTGGGGATGACGACAGGTAGGAGTGGGTCCGGCTGCAGGTGGAGTTGGTTGGGGCGGGGCTGCAGGTGGGGGCTGGAGAAGCTATTTAAGGGTAGGCGTGGGGCTGGTTGGCTTGTGCTCGCCGAGGATTCCTGCTCCCGCTTGCTGCGGGGCCCGCGGGGGCCACCATAAACAGCATGACTATGGGAGGCCTCTGGCTTTGGGTGCTGGGTCTGCTCTCTTTGCCAGGTAAGTGGGCTGCCAGCCTGCAGAGTGCAGAGTGGAGGTGAGAAGGGGGTGGCTGGAGCCTGCAGGGACCTGGAATTGATTGGAATGGCCCAGAAAACGGGCTCTCCAGGGATGTTTCCAGAAATCAGCTCCTAGGGGTGCCAAGAAAAGGCATCCTGAAGACCCTGAAAGCGGAGGGCCTGCCTGGCAGGAGGTGGCAAGTGTGGCCCCCAGGCATCCTTGTTTTGCTGGTCATGCCAGGCTTGCCCAGCCTAAGTCCAGTTTCCAGAGGCCTGGGCTGAGCAGGGAGGGGTGGGACAGGGTCCAGGCTAGCCCTTATCGCCTTCAGTGTTAGAGCCTGAGGTCTGTTCCTGCCTCTCTTTTTTGCTTCCTCCCCTATCTTTTTTTAAAAAATTTTTAAAAAAATATTTTTATTTCTAGGAGAGAGAGAGAGACAGCGAGACAGCGTGAGCAGGGGAAGGTCAGAGAGACAGGGAGACACAGACTCTGAAATAGGCTCCAGGCTCTGAGCTGGCAGTCAGCACAGAGCCCGACGCGGAGCTCGAACCCACGAACCGCGAGATCATGACCTAAGTGAAAGTCGGACGCTTAACCGACTAAGCCACCCAGGCGCCCCCTCCCCTATCTTTTATACACAGCTATTAAGAACCTGGGGCTGCCTTTTAGAACCTAGTGTTGGTCCCCTTAAAGGAGCTCCTTCCTCAAAGTTGTCTAGGCCTTGCCACCGGCTTGGACTGAGGGGAAGCCAGGCAGTCTCCCAGGACTTCTTTTTGGGGGCCTGCTTTCGTGAAGGGCCTGGCTGTCATGGTCTGATACCACCCCACCCCCCACGCCCTGTTGTCCTCTCTCACCAACGAGGGCACTTCGGGCATCATGGGTATGCGCCCGTCTGGGCCAGTTTTGATCCTAGGAGCACCGTCCGCCTCCAGCTGCTCGGAAGCCTGCGGAGCCAGCTTCTCCGAGGGCCTCAACCCCGAGGAGACCCAGACGTCCTGGGACAAGGACATCCCTGCGATTAACCAAGGTGAGAGCGCTGTGTCTTCTTGTGGGGGGGAGGGGCTACAAAACTGTACAAACAGTGTGGTGAAAACCATGCTGAACCCGCAGATGAGCAGACCAAGCTGGAAATGGGCCAGCTTACTGAGCTCTGGGTAAGTAGCAGTTCCTCGGTCTGTGGGCAACTTTTGAAAAGTATTTCTGTATCTTTTCTACTAGATTGTTCTATGCTTTTCTCTCTTCTTATGAAAGGATTTTAAAAATGGCCTGATAAAAGCATGGGTCTTTAGATGCTCCAGCTGTTGTTAAACTGAGTCGTTAGCGGGTGTTTGAAAAGATGTGAGCCACCTGGTGCAGGATAGTCTGCAGGTGTGAAGGTGTGCACTGGGCTACAAACACAAAGAGGTGTGAGGCCCACTGCCTCCCTGTGTGGGGATCTCCGCTGAAGAAAGAGACAATATGGGACACCTGGGTGGCTTAGCTGGTTAAGTGTCAGACTTCAGCTCAGGTCATGATCTCATGGCTTATGGGTTTGAGCCCCGCATCAGGCTCTGTGCTGACAGCTCAGAGCCTGGAGCCTGCTTCGGATTCTGTGTCCCCCTCTCTCTCTGACCCTCCCCTACTTGTACTGTGTGTGTGTGTGTGTGTGTGTGTGTGTGTGTGTCTCAAAAATAAATGAACGTATAGATAACCTAGAATTAAACTGCTAGGGGAAAAAAACTGGGGTTCAGATGTTGGAGCCAAAGTGTGTGTGTGTGTGTGTGTGTGTGTGTGTGTGTGTGTCGGGGGGGGGGTGTGTGACAGGGGGATCTCCTGGAGGGATGGGAATCTCCTGAATGTGGTGGCCACTGTATGACCGCCCCTCCTCTTTGCGAGCCACTTGCTGCCCCAGCACTGCGGAGCGTGAGCAAGGCTGTATGTATGCCACTTTGTGATGACTGCGACTGGTCTGGAGGTAGTCAGAACCAATCTGAGGCTTTCCTGACATTGACTTTCAGCTGCCATGGATACTCTCAGCTAGGGTTGCTGGAGCCCAACAGCTATCCAAGAGGCCCTTTACCAGGAAGCACCCCATCCCCAGCTGCCGGGAATATTGACCGCTAAGGCCTCGCAGCTGAAGGCCCTCTACCAGGGATGTCTGGGAAGCTACCCCCTCCCCCGCCTGAGGCGGCCCACCGTGACTCCTATGGGCCATGGGTCAGCCCCCTGCCTCAAAGTGGAAGAAGTCTGTGTGCCACTGGGGGTCCAGAGCCCCTGTGGGGTCAGACAGAGGCTGTACCCTGGAGGAGTTGGGGACCCCCAGCACCCCTCAATAAATCACTTACAGGTGCTTCCCCTGTTCAGGCTCTGCTTCTAGGAAACCCAACCTAAGGTACCTCCAGGGTGCCACGCCCTCCTCTAAGGCTCCTCGTGGGCTGATCTGTTAGTCAAGAGGTTGTGGAGGAAGGGCTGGCGGCTGTGGCAGAAACGGAGGCTGGAGACGGAAGCAGGGACCTTGTCACTGCAAAGGTCCTGAACATCCTATCGATGGGTGGGAATTAGAGGGGGGATGAGGGGGCCCAGCAAAGTCCAAGGCATGTTGCTAGAGTATGGCCTGTGCTGGAGAGGGAGATGAAGGTGACTTCTGGAGGAAAAAGTCTGCCCCTGAGTAGCAGAGAGGCTCGAACGCAGGGGGAGGACTTGGGACTGGATAGTGTGGGTTGTAGGAGCTCTGGGCTGTGTTTGAGCACGGGAGAGGCGTGGCTGGGCTGAGAAGCATTACACACGTTTGTAGCTGGGAGACTCAGAGGGACCATGTGACTTGCCTGAGGCCACACAGCCTTGGAGCCCAGAGCTTCAGAGTCAGGAAGGACAGATTTTGGGGTTGCTTCTGGGCCTGTCAACACCCCCCACCCTGGGATTTTGGGGGGCATGGGCTCACATATCTCCTTCCCTTCCTTCCTAGGGCTCATCCCAGAGGAAACCCCAGAGAGCAGCTTCCTCCTGGAGGGGGACATCCTCCGGCCGGTGAGTGGGAGCACGCATACATGTCAGTGTAAATAACTTCTCAGATGTCGTTGGAGGCCTTTGAGCTCAGCCTCTGGGGTCATGGGGGCGTGACATGTGAGGGACCCATCTCTGTTGCTCCTGGCTTGATAGAAGCCCTCCCCTCTTCTTGCTAAAGTCACAGTGAATATTCAACAATTAGCCAGACTGAAAGAAAGGGAGGGAGGGTAGCCTCTGCAGTGGTAACAGCAATCAGTCTGGGAGGGCTTCCTGAAGGAGGGTATTTGAGCCCTCAAGATCTAGCTCAGTACCGTGCCCAGGGGAGGTGCTCAGAAAGTACTGGAATGAAGAGATGAGCACCAGATTGGCTGGTGGGGCTGTGGAGAGGTTGTGGTGGTGAACACTGGGGTGTAGCCCCTGTTTGGGGAGGTAATGCAGGGACCCCATCCTGGGGGGTGGGGAGGAGTGAGGGGTGGAGTCAGAAAGGGAGAAGGCTGGGTGGGAATTAGGGTGACTTAGCCAGGGAGACCAGAATGCATGGTGTTTAGGAGAACTGAGCCATGTTTAGGAGACTGGGTGGCAGAGGTATCCTGACCAGAACCGCAATCTGGGGAGAGTGAGACAGTTGTGCTGTTCGGTGGCCGCCCATGGGTGGCACAGCATGAGGCTGGGCTGAAGAGGCAAAGGCTGGGGCCGAGCAGGAGCCCTGTGGGTGGGGTGAGGCCCCTGTTCCTGGTTATTCAGTGAGGAAGGGGTAAGAGCAGAATCCAGTGAAACCTGTGGTAGCCAGTGGGGCAGGACCTTCCATGAAGCCTGCGCCTTAAAGGGTTTTGGTTGGCGCGAGACAGGAAAAAGGAATTGCTGAGGCCAAGGGTGTTGCCTCAGCAGCAGCCCTAGAAGGACCCTTCCTCATCTTTCCATGGAGCTTCAGGGATGTTCGGCTGACTGCTGTGTTTCCAGAAGGACGAGACTGCTGGTGGAGCTCTGAGCTTTTCTGAACTAGGCCACCCCAGGGAGCTGGGACTCCTAGTCGGCCTCCTCAGGAACAAGGACTTTTGCTTTTCTGTTGGACAGAATTGGTTACAAGTTCTCTTCTGTAGAACAAAGGGTGGTGGTGGTGGTCATCACGGACACCCTGGTGTCCTCATCCCCCTCCTGGACCCACGTCCTGCTTCTCACGTCTTTAGGGCTCTTATGGCCCAAGATTTGGCACAGCTGGGGGCAAGACGCTAGGCTGGCCTATGTCCCCAGGGGCCTCTGAAATGCTCTCTCTCTTCAGAGTCCCTTCCGGCTGTTCTCGGCTACCAGCAACAAGTGGCCTAAGAACGGGGAGGTTGTGGAGGTCCCCTTCCTGCTCTCCAGCAAATACGGTGAGTGAGCACATGACCCTGGTCCTGGGAGCTGTGGGCCGGCCTCCCTCCAGCCCAGGTCCCTCCTCCCCACGCAGCTTGGGCTCCTCTCTGGGTTTCTTCCTCTGCCTCTACTCAGACACCACCAAAGAGCCCTTCCACAAGAATATTCCTGAGGGCCTCCTGAGCTGGGAGGGATAAAACCCCAGAAGAGCTGATGGGGGGGACATCCAATCACTATCCCATCCATTTCAAGACCAACCCAGAGAACAGGGACCGACCCAAGGTCACAGAGTTGAGGCCTGTCTGGGACCCAGCTTCTACCTTTCCCTTCCGCAAGCTTCAGGTTACTCTTTTTTTTTTTTTTTTTTTTAATTTTTTTTTTTATTTTGAGAAAATAAACAGTGTGAGTGGGGGGAGGGAGGGAGAGAGACTGACCGAGACTCCAAAGCAAGCTCCAGGTTCTGAGCTGTCACCACAGATCCCGATGTAGGGCTCGAACCCATGAACCATGAGATCATGACCTGAGCTGAAGTTGGACGCTTAACTGACTGAGCCCCCCAGGCGCCCCTACCCTTTCTTGACATTCCATTTTGGAAGAGTGATTTGAAGCTCTGTGGTCACCCTGCACCCAGACTCCTAACGGGTCACAAGGGCTCTGGGGTCTTGGCGAGAGGTTCAGCCAGGGTGTTGCCTCCCCAGATAAATCCAGCCGTGACATCCTCTTGAAGGCATTTGACGAGTTTGAACGCTTCACGTGCATCCGGTTTGTTGCCTACCAGGGCCAGAGAGACTTCATTTCCATTGTCCCCATGTCTGGGTAAGTACTCCTGTGGGCGTGTGGATCCACGCATAAGCATGCATGTGCAGGGTGGGTTTCTCAGCTTCTGCCTTCAGCCTGGCTTTAACTAAGCCATTGTCTAAGACCTACTTCAGGCCTTTTCTTCCCAGATCCAAAGCTCCCCACTACCATCTGAGTGGTTTGCTCTATGGGAGCTAGATCTACAAATACCCAGGGCAGAAGGTGGAGAAGGAGGGGAATTAGGTGCTTGACCCTCAAGAAACCCTCCTCTGTGGAGACTTTACGGTCTGGAGAATGGGGACACCTTTCATGGGACACACCTAGCCTTGGATCCGGGTTTCAGAGTGTAGGAGCCACCTAACACTGGGCGAGAGCTGATCTTTGAGGCTCTCCTGCCTTCTCTGTGAAAGTGGGGATAATGGCAATACCCATTACCTAGCTTGTTAGAGACCTAAGATCATGTGTGAAAACCTTGACTTGGGGACCTCTACATCAGATGTTCACCCAATGAGCTGCTTCCGGTATCGGTGCTCCCATCTATTTCTACATCTTCCTTGCACCCCAGACTAGTAATGAGTTCCAGTGTATCCATTTCACAGATGCCCAAGCAGTGAAGGCACTTGGGAACTGCAAACCTGGGACTAGAATCCAGGATGGAGATTACCTGTTGGTGCTCCTTCATCCCAGGACTTGGGAGGAGGGGAAAGGGGCCTGGGTGTGCTCTGGATCTCTGGTGCCTACCCCATGTTCTCTGCTGGCCCCTGTAGGTGTTTCTCCAGCGTGGGACGCAGCGGAGGGATGCAGGTGGTATCCCTGGCACCTACCTGTCTCCAGAAGGGCCCAGGCATTGTCCTGCATGAGCTCATGCATGTCCTGGGCTTCTGGCATGAGCACTCACGGGCTGATCGGGACCACTATATCCGTGTTAACTGGAATGAGATCCTCCCAGGTAAGCCAAATTGTGCACAGCCCATGCTGGACCTGGGGTCTTGGGGAAAGAGGGCAGCAGGCACTAGCCAGGGCCTGAAGAGTTGCCTGCAGCTTTAGAAGAGGTTCTTCATCTTCCCTACCACTTGCCTATCCACCATAGGGAAGTGGGGCTCCTGCTTCTCTTTGAGACCTGGAGATCGTCCAGATACTGCTGCTCTGGGCCTCAAACCTTCCATCTGCCCACCCATAGTCATGGCCTAGGTAGGACATCACTATTTGCTTTGTGCCTCCTTTTTTCTCATGAACACAGCCAGGTACCTGGGGAGGGAGTTGGTGGTATCCTTTGAGCCTTGTTCATGGTGTACGCAACTAGCGGTCCCCATGCTGCTGTGTGGGCAGGGGCAGGCCTTGTGTGCCAACTGCAGGGGCTGAGCCAAGACCGAAGGCCCGAGAGTAGTGGACTGTGTGTGCCAACTGCCAGATGCAGGAGGCTGAGGACCACACTGCAGGCGCTCAGTCCTTGTGAGATGGGCACTAATGGGCCTGCCGCATAGAGGAAGACAGAGGGGCCATGTCCTAACAGGTGGCAGGGACAAAGCTAAGGCTGGTCTGGGAGTGGGCCGCTATGTTGGATGGTGGTGAGCAGGATCTGTGTGCTGGCCGTGGAGCTGAGTGCTGGGCATCTGATCCCCGTCATGGTGGGATCCCACCCTTGTGGGGGGACAGCTTGATTCAGGAGGTGAGAGGAGTACAGTTAATCCCTTCATGAAAGAAGGAAGCAGAGCAGATGATCAGGGGTTTGGTCTGGAAGAATGGGTGTAAAAGGGGAAGGGTTAGAAGGCTTCCTGGCATGAGCACTTCTGTTGTTGTGGGGGGGAATCAGGTGAGGTGGGTGGGATGGGGTGCTGCTCAAGGTATCAGCATGCATGGAGCCCCAGGGAAAGGGTGCTCTGGGGGAGACATGAATAGCACCTGATATGAGAGGAGGGAGGAGCTTGAGATCAGAGCTTAGTCTAAGGAAGGGGATGATGATAGTGATTATACTCGGAAGGATTGCAGTCTGTTTTCAAAGGGCTCATGGAATACTTGTGAAAACTTCCCATATGATAGAAAAATATCAAATTTGAAAAAGTTAACTCAAATGCTTTGGTGATGTAAAATGCAAAGTAGAAAATAAATCACAACTAAAGTTGTTCTACTTGGAAATTCAAGTCTAAAAAACAATCCTTTCTTTTAGTTCCAAGGTTAAACTGCAGGAATTATTAAAAAAAAAAAACCCCATAACACATTAGAAACAATCATTCAGAGCTAAAGCAATGTTTAGGGAAAATGGGTAGACTTAAATACTTATCAATAAAAATGGAAAAAATGAAGACTTTTAATCCAAGTTAAAAAATCGAGCAGGAGGGAATGGAGTTAAAGACAGAAGTTAATAAGTTAGAAAACCAACGTCACTCATAAACTCAACAGTGGTTTTCTTAACCATAAAACCGGTTAGAACACCAGATACCCTAGTGGGGGGAAAACTGTTTAAGAATGAAGAGAAATGAGGGGTGCCTGGGTGACTCAGTCAGTTGAGCATTCAGTTCTTGATTTCAGCTCCGATCATGATACCAGGGTCGTAAGATCGGGTCCCACCTAGGACTCTGTGCTGAGCATGGAGCCTGCTTAAGATTCCCTGTCTCTCTCTGTCTTCACTCCCTCTGCTCCTCTCCCCACCTCCCTCCCTCCCTCCCTCCCTCTCTCTCTCTCTCTCTCTCTCTCTCTCTCAAATAATAAAATTCTAAAACATGAAGAGATGTGAGAATACATTTGTATTGGTATGTACATAACAAACTGCTAAGATATATAAACTAATAACAGTAATTAACTGGGGGTGGGGAGTAGGAACTCGGAAGGAGGGGGAGGCTTATCACCTAGCTCAACATTTTTTTTTTTTGACTTAAAGAAAATTCTTTTTAATGTCTATTTCTGAGAGAAACAGCCTAAGGAGGGGGAGGGTCAGGGAGAGAGGGAGACACAGAATCTGAAGCAGGCTCCAGGCTCTGAGCTGTCAGCACAGAGCCCCACACGGGACTTGAACCCATGACCCGTGTGATCATGACCTGAGCCGAAGTCGGACGCTTAACTGACTGAGCCACCCAGGTGCCCCTTTTTTTGACTTTTAAACCAGGTGAATATATTGCCTGTTCAAAACTGTTTAATATCTTAAGGGTTTTTAAAAGGAAGAAGTAGGCATACTCTAGAGGCGAGTATGGCAGGTTGTGGAAGAGGCTGGCTGGGCCTGGGGTAGGGGCCAGCTGGGAGAGCAAATACCCAGGGTCTGGCTGTTTTCTCAGAGGCTCACTGTGAAGGGCAGGGCAGCAGCTGGGGGAGGGAATCTTGTCCCTCTCAGGCCTGGGGGACCCAAGTGATGGGGAAAACGGGTGCTCTGGCCAGTGGGGAAGTGCTGCATTTGAATGTGGAGGGGTGGGTGCTGCTGGCCTGAGGCAGAAAGAACAAGGTGACTGCTGGGGAGAGGGAGCCCAGCAGCAGGTGGCGGGCGAGCGGGTCTCTAAAGTTGAACAGTTGGTGAGCTTGAGAGCAGAAAGCAGTGATGTGAACTCTAGGAAGCCGTGATGCCCTGTGTTTCCACATCAGCTAGTGCTGGTCTGGGCCCCTTGAGGGGAGGGGAGGAGCTGGTATTGAAGGCACCAGGCACCAGATGGGGGACCAGGGACTGGTTGGTACTGGGGGTGGGGGGGGGCGCATCTAAGTGTAGTTTTGGATCTGTCAGCTCCTGTAGGGTACGAGTTCCCAGAAGGCCCCTGTCACCCGCCCCCTTCCTCCCCCTCCCTCCCCTGCCCTCTTTCCTGATCACCAAGTAAGTTTTGTTTTTGTTTTTACAGGCTTTGAAATCAACTTCATCAAATCTCGGAGCAGCAACATGCTGGTGCCCTATGACTACTCCTCAGTGATGCACTATGGGAGGTGAGGACCCCCTCCCCTCCCTTCCCCTCCCCCGCTCCCAGGTTATCTGGATTCCAGAGTCCCCACCTGCTGGGTTTCAGGCTTGCCTTCAGCCGGCGAGGGCTGCCCACCATCACACCGCTCTGGGCTCCCAGTGTCCACATTGGCCAGCGATGGAACCTGAGCACCTCGGACATCGCACGGGTCCTCAGGCTTTATGACTGCAGCCCAAGTGGCCAAAGTCCCGGTGGGAGAGGTGAGTGATTTGAGGAATTTAGAGAAGCCTACTATATTGAGGTGGTGTCCATGAGGGTGAGGTGGTAGAGCTGAGGCTGCAGAGGTGGGCAGGGCCAAATCACTGGGGTTTACCACAAGAGATAGAAAACAAGGTATGTGAAAATTCTCATGCAGGGGTAAGAACTCTTAGGAATAGAAGTCACTTTTTTTTAAAATGTTTTATTTATTTCTGAGAGAGAGAGAGACAGACAGCGTGAGCAAGGAGTGGTCAGAGAGAGAGAGGGAGATACAGAATCTGAAGCAGGCTCCAGGCTCTGAGCTAGCTGTCAGCACAGAGCCCGACGCGGGGCTCGAACCCACAAACCGTGAGATCATGACCTGAGCCAAAGCTGGGCGCTTAACCGACTGAGCCACCCGGGCGCCCCAGAAGTCACTTTCTTAACCTTAACATGGGTATCTGCCAAAAACCCAGAGCAAAAATCAGTTTTAGTGTTAAAGCACTAAAATCAGGACCAAAACATTTTTACACTGTTGTGCCATTCTATTCAATACTGTAGCTAGGGCCTTAACTACTGTAGTATGGCAAGGAAAAATAAAAAATCTGAGTATTGGGAAGGAGGCAAAACTGTCACTACTCAAAGACGATGATTACCTACATTGAAAGCAACCAAACCTATTAAGTTATTTGAAGCAAAAGAATTTTAAAAGGTAGCTATATAGAAACGTAATTTCTGGGGCACCTGGGTGGCTTAGTCAGTTAAGCGTCCAACTCTGGCTCAGGTCATGGTCTCCCGGTTCTTGGGTTTGAGCCCCGCATTGGGCTCTGTGCTGACAGCTCAAGCCTGCTTCCAGGTCTGTGTCTCTTGTCTCTGCCCCTCCCCAGCTCATGCTCTGTCTCTATCTCTCAAAAATAAATGTTAATTAAAAAAAAAATAATTCCTTAATGTTATTTTTAAGTTTTTTATAGTTGAGACAGAGACACAGCGCATGAGCAGGGGAGGGGCAGAGAGAGGGAGACACAGGATCTGAAACAGGCTCCAGGCTCTGAGCTGTCAGCACAGAACCCGACGTGGGGCTCGAACCCATGGACTGCGAGATCATGACCTGAGCCGAGGTCTGACGCTTAACCAACTGAGCCACTCAGGCACCCCCCCCCCCTTAATGTTTATTTTCGGGAGGGAGAGGGAGAGAGAATGAACAAGTAGAGAAGGGGCAGAGAGGGCGGGGACAGAAGATCTGAAGTGGGCTCTGTGCTGACAGCAGAGGACCTGATGTGGGGCTTAAACTCCCATGATCTCCTCTCACGTGAAGTCAGATGCTTAACCAACTGAGCCACCCAGGTGCCCCAGAAACAATTTCTATTTGAGTACATCAATAATTGGAACACATTAAAAAAAATGCCATTATAATAGAAATAATACAAAATTCCAAAGAATAAATCTGACAAAAGTTACATAAAAAGTTCTATGGAAAATTAACCTTTAAGAATCTTTAATGATTTTAATAAATAGAGATATATATCATGTTCATTAATAGGCAGTGTAAAAACATCAGCTCTGATCTATAGATTTAATACATTCTCACTGAAAATCCCAAGAAGCTTTTTGGCAGTCTTGACAGGTGAAACTAAAGCTTGTGTAAAAGCACAAAAGGCAAATAATAGCCAGGATACCCTTGAAGAAAAATAAGTGGAGGAGCTTCCCCCAGCAGGTAACAAGTTATACATTTCTATAAATATATTTTATAAACCATATAACATATAAAATATACATTCATATATACACTTAAAATGTATAGCTTCTAAAAGGTCTCTCTAAATGCATAACATTGATGGAAGGATAGATGATTGCCCATTGGAACAGAATGGAGAGTGCATAAATGAATGCATAATGGATTATGCATTAACTAGTTATCCATTGGAAAATTTCCTAACTCATGCACAAATATATTCCAGATATATATATACACACGTGCGCATGTGCACACACATACGACTTCCATATAAATAGAAAAAGCTTTAGGGGAAAAAAAACCATAGTAAAATATGTTCATGACCTTGGAATAGGTAAGGATTTCTTTTTTTAAGTTTATTTTTGAGAGAGAGAGTGTGAGCAGAGGAAGGGCAGAGAAAGGGCTCCAGGCTCCAAGCTGTCAGCACAGAGCCCAATGTGGGGCTCGAACCCGAGAACCATGAGAACCATGAGTGGAAATCAAACGCTTAACTGACTGAGCCCCAGTAAGGATTTCATAAATAAGATACAAAGCAAACCATAAAACTGCAAAGAGTCATAAATACAACCACATTGATAACTATTATACTATAACTACATAACTACTGCTTATACTAGAACTACATAATAACTACTGCTTATGCTATAACTACATAACTACTTATCAAGACAAAGTGAAAATACAAGTTACAAATCAGAAGAACTTTTGCCACCCATAACTAATTGTATCTAAAATACATGTGTATCTTACATCTTAATACACAATAACATACATAAATACATGATAAGAAAAAGAAATACAAAGTAGAAAAATGGGCAAGAGACCTAATAGGGGAAAAAACCAAATGGGAAATAAACACCAGACAATCAGCCTCATTCAAAATTGAGGAAATGGCAAGTGAAAACCAGTACTACCATTTTATACCCCTTAAATTGGCAGAAATTTAAAAACCTGATCATACCCAATACTAATAAGAAAATGGAGCAGTGATCATGTTCATACCCTGCAGACAGGAGTGTAAATTATTGCAGCCACTTCGGTAAGCAGTTTGACTTTTTTTTTTTTTTTTTTTAATAGCAAGTTTAATTGACTTGGCCAATGTCCCATAACCAGTAAGTGGCAGAGGCAGTATTTTTTTTAAATGTCTTTATTTACTTGAGAGCGAGAGGAAGACGGAGAATCCCAAGCAGGCTCTGCACTGTCAGCACAGAGCCCGAGGCAGGGTTCAAACTCACAAACCATGAGATCATGACCTGAGCCAAAATTAAGAGATGCTTAACTGACTGAGCCACCTAGGGGCCCTGACATCCTTGAGGTTGAAGTTTGTATACTCCATGACCTAGGTCATCTTGCATGTGAGTGTCCCCAAGCCCAGCCTGAGGTAATCAGGATCTGTGCTCCCTCTAGGGTTGCATCTTCTGGAAATTTTATGTAAATAGAATCATAGGATATGTGCTCTTTTGTGACTGGCTTCTTCATGTTTTCAAGGCTCATCCGTATTGTGACCTATATTAGTACTTCATTCTTTTGTTTTCAAATGACCCTCCAACTTGTATGGATACATTTTGTCCATTCATCAGTTGAAGGATATTTGGATTACTTCTACTTTTTGGCTACTATGATTAATATTGCTATGAATGTTTGTATACAAGATATTATGTGAACCTATGTCTTTTCCTTTGGATATACTTACCAATAGATTTCTGGGTCCTATGGTAACTCCAGATTTAATTGCTAAATTGTTTTCCAGATTGGTTGTATCATTTTTTTACTCTCAGAAGCAGTGTATATGAAGGTTCCAATTTCTCCATGCACTTACTAACACTAGCTACTATCTATTCTTTTGGTTATTTCTATCCTAAGTGGGTATGAAGTGGTAGCTCATTGTCCTTTTGATTTGCATTTCCCTAATGATCTCTCTATATGCTTACTGGTCATCGGTATATTTTCTTCAAAGAAGTAGGTTCAAATCTTTTTACCTGCTTGTCATTTGGGTTGTCTTTCTATTGCTGAGTTTAAAGTGTTCTTTGTGTATTCTAGATACGTGTCCCTTAGCAGAACTATCCTCATTTGCAAATATTTCTCACATTCTATAGGTTGATCGTGTCCTTCGAATACATTTTTAATTTTGATGGGGTCTGATTTATCTATTCTTTCACTGTGCTTTTGGTGTCCTATCTAAGTAGCCTTTGCCTAAGTCAAGTTCATGAAGATTTAATCCTAATCCTTCGCATGTGACTACCCAGTTCTAGCACCATTTTTTTTTTGGTTATTTTTGAGAGAGCACAAGTCGGGGAGAGGCAGAGAGGGAGATGGAGTATCTGAAGCAGGCTCTGTGACGAGAGTGGAAAGTCTGACGTGGGACTCAAACTCGCAAATCATGAGATCATGACCTGAGCCAAAGTCAGATGCTTAACACTGACCCATCCAGGCGCCCCTCTAGCACCATTTCTTAGACTGTTCTTTCCTATACATAATATCAAATATTACATACTTTTTTTTTTTTTTTAAAGAATAGATAATGTGGCAAGAGCTTTGTGGGTAACTATTGTCGAGGTTGGACTATCCTGAGGAATGGAATTGGGAAGTGGCTGGAAAGGGCTGTGGATCTAGGGAAGGTTTACCATGATGGTAGACATTCAAACATGCTTAGATGCCAAGATAACCCAATGGAGAAGGAGAAAGGATGCATTCAGAGGGCAGAGGGATGAGTATCTAGAACATTTGGGTAGGAGATGCCCTTGGTGGATATGTCTCCAAGGATATGTCTGAGCTTCCTTGGTCCTAATGAGAAGGAAGACAGGTGCAGACCTGACTTTGCATGTGGATCTTGATGTGTGGATGCATGGACTTCTGAGGGCTTTGGTCACAGAATGACATGAAGTCACTAGCCTAGTTGGGGAGAAGGGGATAGATGTGAAGGGAAAGGTGTGACAGTGCTGACTGGTGTACAGAAGAAGAAACCAGTCAGATACCCTGCAGGGCTGTGGGTGGTGCTGGGGCAGCTGGTGGCCAGGTGGAGGCATGGCATAGGTTGGTGACTTGGTTCTGCAGGACTGGGGTTTTGTGGGCAGGTGTGACGGGGGGGGGGGGGGCGGGGAAGGTGCTCGAGGAATAATTGCAGCGAAGGTTGTGCAGCCCAAGTCAGATGAGGAGAGCAGCCTGGAAGCGAGGAGCTTGTAAGCAGGAAGACCTCGGGGTCCATGTGCTCGAGGGCCTGGATCATCATATTTAAACAAGTGGGCTTGAAAGTACAGGAGTAGGCTGCCAGGAATGGAGATTCTGCAGTGGTGGTTTCTGGTACTGGCCAGGTCTGGTGGCAGGGAGGGAATGAACACTGAGATCAATGGGACCAGTGGGGAGAAGAGTCGCCGGTTGAAGCCTGTGTGCTCTGATTTGGTCAGTGTTTGTTGATGGAAGTTTGGGCTCATCATGGAGCCCTCAGTGCATGGGCAGGGGTGAGGGGTGATGGGTGAGCACTGAGAGGGTGGAGGTGCCTGGCCAGATAACTTGGGCTTAAGATGAAGAGATTTACAAAGCAGTGGGCAGCATCAGTGGTCCAGGAGAGGCAGTGAAGAACCAGAAGGGCCGGTCCCACTAAGTGCATGTGCCTAACAGTACTCAGTAATGTCCTCCTGACCCCTGGGGTTTAGAGGTGGATGGAAGTGCAGGAAAAGTTCTGTAGGAGGCTTCAGATGGGGGGGAGGTGAGAGCAGGGTGCCCCTCAGACAGGACCCCACAAGGTGTTGGAATAGTGAGGGCTGCAGTGCCATCCGCCCTCAGCTATCTGGTGGGCTGACCATCAGCAGCTGGGTGGGGGTGGGAGGCCATGGAAAAGCCCTATGGCTGGACTTCCTGATGGTGACTGAGAAGACCAAGAGGGGAGGGAATGGGATGGTTCTGTGGTCCTTCTCTTTAGGGGTTGAGAATTTGGGTCTTGAAAGCATTGAGCAGTGGCTTAGCAGGGGTGAGGCAGGTTTTCTCCAATGAGCTGAGCTATTCCTACGAATGAAACTGAAGGTCACTCTAGCTCCTACAGCCAGGCCACACATTTTCCTTCTATGATTCTGGGACATAACCTCCTCTCTCTCCTGCTTCAGGGTTCCAGCCCCACAGCGATGGTAGGAGCCCTACTGCCACCTCTAGGCCATACCTGCAGCAGCTTCTGAAGGTGTTGTTGGCAGAATCTGGGAGCCTCGATGCCAGTGGCTCCGAGGCTAGAGGCCAGCGTGTTGTTGCAGGGCCTGGAGAGAGCCCACGCAGGTGGACGCTCCCCGTGCTGAGCAAGTTGGGTGTGGAGGCCTCTGCAAGGCTGCTTCAGACCCCAGCTTCCTCCCTAAACTCAAGGCCTGGGGCAGGCATTCCTGGTATTGCTCTAGAGAGGTCCTGGCCAGCCCAAGTGCCCTCTGTACCACCTGCTGCATCTCCAGAAGCAGAAGACCAGCCAGTGCCCATCAAGGGTGCTTTGGGGAGCCCAGCTCTCCCAGGGGCACATGAACCTGAAAGTCCTTTCAGGGGAATGCCCAGAAGTCAAACCTGTGACTTCTGTCCCCAAGGGGGAAGGGAATCTCCATCTCAAGTAGCTGGGCTGCATAACCCCTAGCCCCCTCCTGGCAGCACCCTGTCTTCCAGCCCCAATCTGCCTATCTGTGTGGGGCCTGGGACTCTCCCTCTGCCCCTTTTTTCTCCATATGTTCTCCTAAGGGCTTCTGGGGACAGAGGAGACTTCTAGGTTTATCAAGAGATGACTGCCTCTGCCTGCTCTCAACTTCTGCCCCAGTCCTGGAGGCTGCTGGGAATCGGAGGTGACCTTCTCCAGGGCCAAGGGTCTGGAAAAGGGAGAGAGCAGAGGCAGGTTCCCTGGGAATCAGGGTGAGGGGATGAGTCACAGCACCCCCTGCATGCTAAGATACTGCCTCTGTCTCTCCCTTGGGCCAGGACTTGCGGGGGAGCCTATAGCTTCTGGGAGCAGCCTCCCAACCCTGATGTCTGGGTGCTGGGAGTGCTGCCCTGCAGCTGTAGCCCCCAGCCCTGCTCCCCAACAGGCTTCCAGCTTGCTCCCCTGCAGTGCAGGAAGGTTCTGGCTGCAGGGGTGCTACTCCAAGGGGCAGTGAGGAAGGAATGGAGGCCCCCACTAGCACTGCACAATGGGAAACTCAGCAAGAATGGGAGGCCCCTGATTGCAGGATTCAAAGCCCCTTCCCACCCTGCTCTGCTTTCCCAGGAACCTTCCCCTCCATGTAGGGACTTGGCCAGAAGAGGCCCTGGAAGGTGTGAAGGGGCGGTAGGGTGGGGTGGGGGTCACCCTGCTTCTCTTCCTTCAGCAAAGCCCTATTCCTAGCTCCTGCCTTCCTGTGTGAGGGCTGTTCCAGGGATGAAAAAGGTCTCCATGGGGGCTTACAGGCCAGGAGCCCCCAATCCTGGAGTGGCACTATCCTTATGGACTGTTGGAAGCCCCAGGAAGCCATGCGTGCAGTGGGAGTGAAGTAGGAGCCTGGGCCCTGCACCAGTGGGGCCGAGTGCCTCAGATGTTTGGGGGGAAGGCAAAAATAAAATTGGGTACTTGCTCTAAGAGCTAGGTACTGGGCTGTGCATGAGTGCATTTAACCTTGCCGACAGACCTGGGAGGGGCCCTCAGGTGGTTACACCCACTCTCCTGGGGAGGAGGGGGCGAAGCAGCCAGGCATGCCTGATGCGAGCCTGAGGGGCGTCAGGGCAGGGCTGAGGCTTGCTTCAGTTACTGGGAGAGCTTGGCCTTTGCCAGCCTCCTGGGCCGAGCCCGGGAGGCTGGAGCCTCTGCCCTCAGTCTGTCTTGGGTTTCAGTCTTGAGTTCAGGGATTTTCTCAGACTGAACTGGGGCCTGGTCTCCGGTATTCACATCAGGGAAGGATCATCGGGTGGGGAAAACCCTGTCCCTCTGCTTGTTCCCCAGACACGCGAGGAGGACTGAGTTTAGAGTGGGTGGTATGCTCCTAGCGGGGTGACGGTTCCCCTGGGAGAGTCCCAAGCAAAGATGGAGAGCGTACATAGTGCCCCAGCTCATCAGAGAACTGAGTGTGACCGCCTTAGCATCTATGGGTCTAAGCAGTGGAGCCAGGCCTCTGGCCCTGGGCTGGGGGTTCTCGGCGGCCACACTAGGTCAGAGAAGGTGAAGTGGTTGGTGTCTGCAAGGAGGCCCTCCCTTAGAGGCTGCCTGTGATGAGCCTCCATCAGGATGTGGCTTTTGGTCTCAGCATGTGTGTTTTCCAGAGGGTGGGGCTGGCTGAGCCTGGTGGCTCAAGGGGAAGAGTGTTTTGCCCTCTTTGGGGATGATCAGGGATGAGGCTGCCTTCGCCCTTCCCCCGCGGAGCCACCTACCCCTACAGATCCCGTTCTCCAGGCCTATTCCACGAGCACCACCCTGCCCCTGTGGTCCAGCCCCCGGAGCCCTGGCATGAGGGGTGTGCTGTGGATGGGGCCCTGACCCTGGTCTGTGGCCTATTCCTCAACCCCCAGGGCCATGCTGTGTGGGCTCACTCATCAACCTGTTCACTCCATTGACAGACTCTGTTGTAGGAGGTGCCAGGCTGTCTTGGCTAGAGGCACTAGGAGTGACAGGGTGAGCGAGGCAGGGTTTCTATTCTTGTGGAGTTTATTGGGGGGAGGGGGAGAGGGATGGAGAGTGATCAGATAAATAAGGCATTGGAGATTGATAAATGATGGGGGTGGCCATTCCTTTGGTTGGTATTTCAACTGGGACACAAATGACAGGAGGGACTATCCTGTGGGGAAAAGAAATCCAAGGAAATAACCAGTGCAAAGGCCCTGAGGCAGGAAGAAGAAAGGTGTGATTGGCGTGGGATGGGGTGTTGGCAGGGCGAGGTTAGTGAGGGATGGTTTTATTCCAAGAGCAACAGGGAGCGGCCGCTGGAGGGTCTAAGTAGGGGAGTGGCAAGATCTGAGATTGAAAAAGTCACTCTGGATGCTCTGTGGAAAATAGACTGGAAGTAGAAAGAACAGCTGGAAGCCACTACATTTGTACAGGCCAGAGTGAGGGGGACTGTGGAAGTGGGCAGACATGGATGGTTCTCAAGCATGTTTTGGAGGTTGAGGCAACCACACTTGTGACTGACCACAGGGTGTGAGGACCCCACGTACAGCACCGGGACCTCAGAAGAGGAGAGTGTGTGCGGGCTGAATGAGCCTGGAGTTCAGGGCTGGAGATGTCCTTCGGGGTGTCCTCAGCCTCCAGGTGGGACCTATGCGCTAGATGAAATTACCAAAAAGAGTTTGGGTCCAGAAGAAGGAGGGATTCCAGGACTGAACGGGGGTGCTGCGACATTTAGGCCAGGGTTTCTCCGTCTCAGCGTTATTAGTGTTTTGTGCCTCGTAATTGTTGTGGGGGCCGTCCTGTACATTGTGAGGTGTTTAGCAGCGTCATTGGCCACGACCCACTAGATGCCAGTAGCGCCCCCCTTCCTCTTGTGACAATTGAGAAATCTCTCCAAGTGCCATATTGCCAAATGTCCCTGGAGGAGAAGGGGCAAACGCCACTCTCCATGAGAATCGGTGATTGGAGTTTCGGGGGGAAAAGGGGGGACTAAGAAGGAAGGGGTGGCCTGTGAGGAGGGAGTCAAGCCTGCAGTGTTCCCGGGGAAGGGAGCAGTCTGTTGTCTAAAATGGTGCTGAGAAAATGAAGAGGACACGCTCAGAGGCAGGGGGTCATGGATGCCCCACCAGCAGTAGATTCAGCTGAGGACAGGGTGCAGGTGCCCAGTGGAGGGTTAAGGAGAGAATGTGAGGGGTTAGAGACAGTGCAGCAAATGGTTAGAGAAGACAGCAGCTACAGAAGACATAGAGGGCTTCCCAGGGCAGGGGCTGGCCCTGGATCAGGGGAGGAGTGACAGCGGAGGGTGATAATTGCAGGAGCAGAGGCCTGGGGGATAGGACAGGGTTCTGGCCACATACAGAGGACTTGCCCTCAGAGCAGAGATGGCACTCAGATGCAGGTGCTTGTGGGGGTGATTTCCTGACTAATGGCTTTCATCTTCTAAGTCAGAGGCAAAGTCACAGCTTGGAGTGGGGGAGGGCATGTGGGGTGAGGGGGATGAGAGGGATATGGATTCTGGAGTGGGAAAGGTGGCACACTAGGAAAGTCTGGAGGTTTGTGGTCCTGGCTTTAAAGCGAGGCCAGTCGATGCAGTGAGTGTTTTGCTCCGGAAAGAGCAGCCGCTCGAGCAAAAGCAAGGTGGGTGATTTAGGTCTGACCAGCGTAGGGGGTTTTGTCGGGTGAGGTATGATGGAGGAAAGGGTGGTGGCCTTACATTATAGAGGGTGTGACTCAAGGGTCTGGGAAGGTGAGGAAGTTGGGTCATTCAAGGTGGTGTGAGGATAAGGTCCGAGGGATTTGAAAGGCTGGGGCTTCTGGGGAAAGTTGGGGTGCAAAGCCTAGCTGGGCATCCTCCCTGCGGAACCCTGGCACGGGAGAATCTGGGGCCAGTCCTCTCTCTCAGGCCTGGAGAAGTGGCTCCAGTGCTATCAACTAAGGTGGCACATCTCTCGCTGTGCTCTCACAGCTAGGGATGGGACGGCTGTTCCTGTGTCTTTGGAAAAGATGGTGCTAGGTCAACTTCCCTCCACCCCCAGCCCCTCTTTCCAAAGGCATCCCTTGGGGGCACCTTCACTTTGGACATTACCTGAGAAAGGCTCATGTGGATGTCATCCGTGGATGTCCGGCTGCCACTCCCTCTTGTCATTCAACAGCCTTGGCTGGGTAATGGAGACAGAGAAGGGATGTGTGCTCCAGTGGGTTGGGGGAGGGGGGGGCATGTGATGCAGCAAACCCATCCACCACCATCTCAGGACCTCTCTGAGTGTGAAAGTGGTACTGTGTACATAGCATCAAAGAACTTGGAAAGCAAGTTATCTTTTTCTCTCTGAAGGGGTAGTGGGTGAAAGGTGAGTGGACCTTGGAGAGTGGGGGGGCCCGCCAAACACAGAAGGAAGGGAGCAGCCAGCCCCTGGGAAGGACTGGAGATGTGGGAGCTCAGGGCATGCCCAGGGACCAACAGGTAGCCCGTGCCCATCACTTGTCTTCCTCTCCCACCACAGGTGGCTGGGAACGCTCTGAGGCAGCTGCTGGCTGGGTCTGGGATTGAATTCTGCCAGCCCTGGTGGAAGGGAATGACAATGGGGTGTGGGGGGGTGTCCCGTCTAGTTGGAGAAGGGCTGAAGGAAGCCCCACTATGGCCCGAGGCTCTGATTCGTGCAGGGTTGAGCCAAGCAGGCAGCACTGGAAGGTGTATGTGGGGGATATGGAGGCTGCAGAGAAGAGTGGGAATCAAGTCATGTAATGGTCTCCACTGCCCCAAGAGCCAGCTGCACATTTGGGAGGTGGCAGCAGGTGACAGACCCTGGGGCGGGGCTGAGCCTCACAGATAGATGCCTGTAGGCTCTCCCTGGCTCCCCTGACCTAGGATTGTGCCTAGTAGGGTATGACACTTGGTAGACCCAGAGCTGCCCCTTCAGCGAAGGCCCAATGGGGAGGGAGAGAGTCTGAGGAGCCCTGGCCTCAGCTCCTTCGGGTCCTGGGAGCCTCGCCTTTCAAGGAAAACTTGGGCCAGG